TGGTGCAATGGAGCTTCTGTTTTTTTGTCTTGGGGACGTTGATTGGTGCTGCGTTTTAGTTGTTGTTTTCTTTGTGTGCGTTTGTTGTCTTTGGTTGCCAGTGTGCCCTTTAGCTTGCAGTCGATCTACTACTTGGATTTGGACTCTCTATTTATATTCCCTGTTCTTGTCTGGATGTCTACCAGCCCCTGTGTGTCTGGATTGGTTCAGGTATTGGTAATTGGGTTGTCCACGTGAAAGAGGCTGGAGTGGCGTTGGTGTGGACACGGGGTTGGGTTGAGAACATGTTGATCACCATTATAATAGTTTGTGTCCACGTTCCTGTCATTAGCATTCAGCCTTGAGAGAGTTCTTTTATTCAGAAAGGACGTCAGCATGGAGCATTGAGTCCTCGTACCCAACAGGAGGATCCTCATTACTCGTTCACTTACCTCAAAAGCGTCACTGCTGTCCGAGGTCTCATGGCCCTGCCTCACTCGCCACCGCTTTGAACTCCTGTTAATCGACATGTCTGACTCATCAGCAAGTAGATTAGTTTTTGAAAAAAAATTAAAATGATGTCATTATTTTGTAAAGTTTTGAGCATGTTTCAAAAGTTCACATTTTAATTATTTTTTAAACTTCTGCATTAAAGTTCACATAGAGTGTCAAAGAAAATTTGCATGAATGTAAATTGCTTTCAGTGACTACTCGCTTTATGCAAATGTTATAAAAGATAAGTTAGTTACTGTTTGTCACATCCCACTCCCACATAAGGGTACATCACTCTATGTTAAACATGCAGACCATAACAAGACATCTTTACATAACTACAACTCTCTCTCTCGCTCTCACTCTCTGACATTCAATGTGACTAATCTTTTCCTGTTTTAGGTCAGTTAGGATTACCAAAATTATTTCTCTTTGCTAAACACCAGAATAATGAGAGAGAATTTTTTTAGAGAATTCTGTATTACTTTAAAGTCAGAGGTTTACACACACACACACACACACACACACACACACACACACACTACCTCCATTGTGTTGTTATTGTCGGGGTTGTGTTGTATTGTGTTGTTTGCCGTGTTCAAATTGTACATGTTTGCACTACCTGTTTTTTATATTGCACTACTGTTTCCATATTTCTATTTCTATTTTAATCTATTTTTGTCTTATTTTATTTTATCTTATCTTTCTGCACTGCATTCTTTGCGCGAACATTTTAGCTCTGGATCTGGGAAATGCTGTCTCATTTCACTGTGTACTGTACAGCTGTATGTGGTTGAAATGACAATAAAGCCCTTTGAATTGAATTGAATTGAATATATATACAGTCGTATGAAAAAGTTTGGGCACCCCTGATCATTTTCAAGATTTTCCTTTATAAATCATTGGTTGTTCAGATCAGCAATTTCAGTTAAATATATCATATAGCAGACAAACACAGTGATATTTGAGAAATGAAATGAAGTTTATAGGATTTACAGAAAGTGTGCAATAATTACTTAAACAAAAGTAGGCAGGTGCATAAATTTGGGCACCCCAACAGAAAAATTACATCAAAATTTAGTAGATCCTCCTTTTGCAGAAATAACAGTCTCTAAACGCTTCCTATAACTTCCAATGAGGGTCCTGATTCTGGTTGAAGGTATATTTGACCATTCTAATTTACAAACCATTTCAGTCAGGTTTGTTGGTTTCCGAGCATGGACTGCCTGCTTTAAATCACACCACAGATTTTCAATAATATTCAGGTCTGGGGACTGAGATGGCCATTCCAGAACGTTTTACTTGTTCCTCTGCATGACTGCCTTAGTAGAATCTGAGCAGTGTCTAGGGTCGTTGTCTTGTTGAAGTATCCAGCCCCGGCACAACTTCAACTTTGGCACTGATTCTTGAACATTGTTCGCAAGAATCTGCTGATACTGACTGGAATCCATGCGACCTTCAACTTTAAAAAGATTGCCAGTACCTGCACTGGCCACACAGCCCCACAGCATGATGGAACCACCACCAAATTTTACTGTGGGTAGCAAGTGTTTGTGTTCTTCTTCCGCCATGCATACCGCCCCTTGTTATGTCCAAATAACTCAATTTTAGTTTCATCAGTCCACAGCACCTTATTCCAAAAGGAAGCTGGCTTGTCCAAATGTGCTTTAGCATACCTCAAGCGATTCTGTTTGTGACGTGCGCAGAAAAGGCTTCTGCCGCATTACTTTCCCATACAGCATCTCCTTGTGCGTAGTGCGCTGAATAGTTGAACGATGCACAGTGACACCATCTGCAACAAGGTCATGTTGTAGGTCTTTGGAGCTGGTCTGTGGGTTGAGTTTGACTGTTCTCACCATCCTTCGCCTCTGCTTATCTGAGATTTTTCTTGGCCTGCCACTCCAGGCCTTAACTAGAACTGTGCCTGTGGTCTTCTATTTCCTCACTATGTTCCTCACAGTGGAAGCTGACAGCTGAAATCTCTGAGCTAGCTTTTTGTATCCTTCCCCTAATCTATGATGTTGAACAATCTTTGTTTTCAGGTCATTTGACAGTTGTTTTGAGGCTCCCATGTTGCCACTCTTCAGAGAAGATGCAAAGAGGAGAACAACTTGCAACTGGCCACCTTAAATACCCCTTCTCATGATTGGCTTCACCTGTGTATGTAGGTCAAGGATCAATGAGCTTACCAAACAAATTTTGTGTTCCAATAATTAGTGCTAAAGGTATTCAAATCAATAAAACAACCAGGGAGCCCAAATTTATGCACCTGCCTACTTTTTTTTAAAGTAATTATTGCACACTTTCTGTAAATCCTATAAACTTCATTTCACTTCTCAAATATCACTGTGTTTGTCTGCTATATGATATATTTAACTGAAATTGCTGATCCGAACAGCGAATGATTTATAAAGGAAAATCTTGAAAATGATCAGGGGTGGCCAAACTTTTTCGTATGTATGTAGGTAAGTAGGTAGGTAGGTAGGTAGGTAGAGGGGAGATGACACAGGTATTGCCAGATTTAACGTAAGCTTTTATTTACTAGTTAAATTAATACTTTTGAAGCGAGGCGTGTACGTCAGTGATGTCAGTTGTGTGGATGGGGATGTCTGGATGCCGGGATGTGATGTGGTGTGAAGTGTTGTCTGATGTGAAAACCAAACCAAAATGCCACAAACCCAATTCGCAAGCATGAGGAGGAGAGAGAGCAGGAGCTGAGGGGTTGGCACTTTTGTAATCTCGGAGCACTGGGCCCACGCGCACCAAGCAAGTAGGACCGCCCACTCAGTCTCCAGCAGTCTAGGGACCTGAGGAAACAGAGCCAAACACAGACAGCCAATGTACCCAACCAACAGACTAGGTGGGGCTGTCACATTTACATGAAAAGACTTTCATGTCAAAGTGAAAACTAATTTCTACAAAGTAATGCCATGTAATTAAAAATGTTAATGTATAATATGTAATGCTCGCCTATAAAATGTAAAGTAAGCGATTACATAAATATTCATCCCTCAAGTCAGTATTTAGTCACCTCTGGCTGCAGTTACAGCATTGAGCCTGTGTGAACAGGTATCAGTCAGCCTTGCACATCTGGACACTACAGTTTTACTTCATTCTTTCCAAAACTGCTCAAGCTCTGTCAGGTTGCACAGGGGTCATGAGTGAACAGCCTATTTCAAGTGCAACCTCAAATTGTCAGCTGTATTGGGATCTGGGCCCTGATTTGGCTTCTCCAGAACACTCACTTTGTTGTCTTTGGGTCATTGTCTTGCTGGAAAACAAATCTTCTCCCAAGACACAGTTCTCTTGCAGAAGGCCTCATATTGTTCTCCATATTGTCCACTGAATACAACATCTAGTCTGACGACCAAAAATCTTAATTTTAGTGTCATCAGACCAAAGAAGCTTCTTCCAATTGACTTCAGTCTGGTACAGACCTTTTGGCAAACTAGTTGAAATTTGAAACAAGTTTTTTTTTTTTTTTTTTTTTTTTCCAGCAGCAGATATCACCTATAAACTTTTGACAGGTGAAGAATCCAGACAACTGTTGATGTATGCAGTTTTTCCTGTCTCAACTGCTGAAGCTTGGAACTCATTCAATGGAGTCATGGGTGTCTTGGTGGCCTCTTTCGCTAGTGTCTTTCTTACACAGTCACTCAGTTTTTGAAGACGGCCTGCTCCGGGCAGATTTATGCGCATGCCATATTGCTTCCATTTCTTAATCACTTACCTGTACTCCAGGAGATATTCAGTAACTTCTGCTTTTCAGTTTCCTAGAGTATTCTTTAGTCTTCATGGTGTAGTTATATCCAGAATTACTGATTCACTAGTGACTGGACCTTCCAGATTTGATTTCACTGTGTGGCTTATAGCACCAATTGGATGCCCTTACACTCCTGATCAAAATCTTAAGACCAGTTAAAAAATTGCATGAATTTGCATTTTGCACTGTTGGAGCTTAGGAAGGTTCTAAGTAGAGCTTCAAAATGCAAAAAAGAAGAAATGGGAGCAAGAGACCAAAAGTTGTGAGCAGGCAATGTATTGAAATCAACAATCTAACTCAAATAGGCTGTTCATCAGCTGATCAAAAGTTTAAGACCACAGCTCAAACCCCCCCCCCGCCATCTGATGGTTATTGGGCTGCAGTCAGCACCAGTAATGTCCTAAATTTGGGACGAGGATCGTCCCATGTCTTGACGGACAGTCATTTGGATCCTCCGGCTCAGCCCCAGTGAGATTTTTTGGGTCTACCACTTGATTTTTTTGTTCCATAACCCTAAGGACCTTTAAAGAAACGCAAAATGACTGTCTTACTGCATCCAACCTCAGCAGTGATGGCACGTTGTGAGCGGCCTTGTTTATGCAGCTCAACAATCCTACCACGTTCAAAGATGGTGAGCTTTTTTGCCTTTGCCATCAAGAGATCTTCGCCGTGTGATTACTTGACAGGAAATGTCATGGAATCCAAATTTTTGCACAGATTTTGGCTTTAAAAGCTGTGGTCTTAAACTTTTGATCAGCTGATGAACAGCCTATTTGAGTGAAACTGTTGTTTTCAGTAAATCGCCTGCTCACAACTTTTGGTCTCTTGTTGCCATTTCTTCTTTTTGCATTTTGAAGCTCTACTTAGAATCTTCCTAAGATCCAACTGTGCAAAATGCAAATTCATGCATTTTTTTTTAACTGGTCTTAAGATTTTGATCAGGTGTGTATGTTAAATAAGGTGAGACACTTTATAAACTTTTATGCAATCATGTATTTTACATTTGATTGTTTTGAAAAAGTTGATTAACAGTGCTTTGTAGAAATCTGTTTTTTTTTTCACATGAAAGAGTCTTCTTGCCAAAACACCCACATTAAATTTACCTTAATTCACTGTTGAAAAACTTCCGGCGGAGGTGAATACTTTGATACTTTATTCCATATAGCCAACTACAGCCAACAATGGTGCATAGCTGCAAACACCAAATATGTCTAGTAGCACTTTTTTGCCTCAATACACGAAGAGGAATTTTCATATATTTTCAAAAGCCTATAAAAACATTTCAACAAGATATAAATCAGCTTGTGTAAAAAAAAAAAAAAAAAAGCTCACAAATAATTCTTTTTATTTTATTTTTTTTAACAAAGCTTAGTGATGTTGTAAAGCAGCTGAGCAACAGTGTGGCTCATTGATGTACTTTAATCAACATGCACTTTTAACAGAGAGAGAATCCTCTGTGATGCGTCCCATGTTGCACACTTTGAGTGTAAGTTATTACTGCATGTAGAAAATTCAGGACTCAGCGATATAAATTAAATCAATTGAAGAATACCTTTTTACCTGTGTTGCTTTGAAATTTAAACAGTAGTGTTCTGACTCCTGTCAGTGACTGAAAAAGTTAAGTTCCCCCTGCTGGTGATTTTGAGTTACTGCGGCTTTAAGGATCAGGCACTTTCAATGTTCGTGCATGAGCTGCAAGTGCTCCACCACAGAGAGTTGGTTGTCTGAGTCTTGGAGTGGAACCAACAGTGACTACAGATGCAAATGATTGTTTTGGTTGTTTGTGGCACTGTGATCTGGAGGATGACGTTTGAGATGTTTATTTTATGTCACGAAAACCGTGCTAACTATGCCAATGCTAATCGCGACGCTAACCATTAGCAAGAAGCTATTTTGGTTGTTGTGGCTGGTTCGGTCCATTGTCGGACCTTGTTGATGTTGTGTGCTGTGTTTGTGTGTGAACCATATGGCTGTTTACTGTGTTTACACTGTTACTTACCTGTGGAAGCATGCTATAAGGAAGATGTTTGCCTTTTTTAATAGTGTGATGTACTTACCTGTTTTATAACCTGGAAAAGAAGAAGGATAGTGTGACCAGTGTTGTTGCATATATTTAATTTCAAATTGTAACATTGTGTATATTTCATTGTGTCGCAGTTTTACAAAAAAGATATTGAGAAGATTCAGTAAAGCAACTTCATTCAAATCTACTGGGTCTCTCAAGTTTGTTCGCTATCTGTCAGCCAGGACAGAATAAGTAGCTTGAAGTGAATCTGTATGGACAACAGTGAAGCTCTGTGACACAAAGAAATAAGACAAATCTGTCAGCGTCATTTTGTTAGCAGGATACATTCGTTGTTGGTCTGAATATTTACGGTATAAAGTGCATATCTCTTCTGTACACACCCTTGTATTTGTATTTAAGCTTTGAATTTAATTTGGGCATTACAGTGTTCTCAATGCCCTTATGATCTGAGTTCTGTTAATGACTTTTTAATTATTTTGTGGACTTGTTGATTCCTCATCTGTTCTCCTCCTCCTTTAGGAAACTGTACAAGTCGCAAAGGACTTAATGGAGCATGTTCAGTTCACGAATACACTGGCAGCTTCGAAGGCCAAACTGTACGCTTCAAGATGACTTCTGTTTGTGGACATGTAATGAGTCTGGATTTCATTGGTGGGTATCATCCATATCTAACTCTCATCGATAGGATTTGTTTGCTTAAAAAATACTTAGTATCTCTCTTCCCATTTACAGTTGTGAACAAAAGTTTACTTACACTTGTAAAGACCATGTATGTCATGGCAATCTTTCAGTTTCTAATGATTCCCATAACTCTCAACTTTGTATGATTTAATCCTAGCCTAATTTAGCCATTTCTTTACCATTTTTGATGTGTTTTCGAGTCATTATCTTGTTTGAACACTTATCTGCTTCCAAGACCCAACCTTCTGGCTGATGATATTCGGTTTTCCTAAATAAAACCACGTATAAAATGTAAAAAATATGGATTCCTGTCATTGGAAACTCAATGTTGCAATGGTAAACATGGTCTTTACTATTTTTTTTTTTTTTTTTGCTGACTAGACATAGGTGCAGACATGAAAATTAAATATTAGGAACACCCCTAGAAAATAATGCAATTCAAAATGATGCCAGCTCAACCTACAGGTGACAGACAAAGAAAAAAAAAAAGTAGTTTTGTGTATTTTACATAACTGTTGAATTAGAATATAGAGTATGGTGTGGTTTAAAACTCCAGAAACTTTTGACTCTGTCTTATGTGAACTGGTTTGGATCCACAGAAGTGATCTCTCTGATTTAGCCTTAATCTTAGGTGTTATGAACAGGGAGATTCTGCAGCTTCCAGAAATGTTTTCCTTGTTTCCTCGTTCCAATTTCATTTTTCCTGATATCTTTTCTTCAACTTTGTTTCTGAGAAGTAATTGTAGCATGGTGAGTGGGCCATTGTTGATATTCATTATTGTGCATGTGCTTCTGAATTCTATTCTCAATTAGCCAACATTGCCAAAATTTTACTTCAGTAAGGCTTGAAACATGTCAACAAAATGCTTAGAAAAGGAGCAACACTGACATTACCTTTTATCGAAGTAATGAAGTGGGAATGTAGTGTGAGCTGAACATTTTTTTCTCTCAGCTGAGAGGATGAGGAGTGTGGAAGTATGTTTGCATTAAGGTCAGAATATGGTAGAACTGAGTTTCCATCAATATAATTACTCACATCGTTTAGAACAACATATTTGAAATTTGTAGAAGCCTAAAAAGGCCGCTGATGTATGAATCCTGTCAGCCGGTAGTCGACAAATATTGTGCTTGGTCACCATTTCTTGTTAAATCAGATAAGAATGATCCAAGTTAGTTTAGACAGTGAAGAAGTGTTGTGGTACTCAGCTTATGTGATCAGTACATCCATTTTTGGGACTTCCTCAAAATCTTTCATTATATCTTTCTTTATATAATAACTTTAATTTGATATAATAACTATAAAACCCTTTGATTTGGATTGATTTTGATGTAATCCTCTTCAGCATCAAAACTCTTGATTTGCATTTCTCTGACAGTGTTGTCCTTCTTTTTCAAGGGAAATACAATAACTGGGACAAGGTGGACCCTGCAGAACTCTTCAGTAAAGCTCCCACAGAAAAAAAGGAGGCCAACTCCAAACTCAACATGGTCAAGTTCCTCCAGGTAGGTTAACACAGTGATCAGCTTTAGCAGGACATTGGTGCTTTCTGCATTTTGTGCGACTAGTGTCAGACCTTTTGTCTTTTTTTGCTCAACCCAAGTTTCTGGTGTTATGTCAGGTTGAAGCCAGAGGCTGTGACTATGTGGTTTTGTGGTTGGACTGTGACAAAGAAGGCGAGAACATCTGTTTTGAGGTAATCCAGGCCCATTTACACCTGCTACAACCATGACATCTGTATCTGGACACTGACAACTAATCTTTGGCACATCCCAATAGTGCTGCTGTATGGGCTCTACATCTGTTTCCTTTGCTGAGGATGGAGCTTAAGCTAGCAATATCGTTGTTCTGTACAGACTGCATTTGGGTCATGCCTTTTTAAATCATCACATTTTTGATTTCTTCTCATCTATCTCTGTTTACCTCAGATTGTTATGGCACAAAATATGGATGTTGATACAGATATTTGTTTCATGTTATTATTATGCTTTCATGTTGGCTGTGCGCTCTTAAAAGTCTTCAGTTTAACCGAAAGCTGAGGATCAATAGTGTGAAAACATGATTTTTCTCATTTATGTGAGCTGATCTATAAAGCTACATTTGCACACTTTGGGCAGTGGAACAACAAGCAGTAAACACAATGCAGCATATTGTTACCTTATAAACATAAACTTGTTAGCACTACCCACTAGTAATGGCAGCATGCTTTATTTACACTATGTGGAGCTATTCTAGTGCTACTTAACTTCACATGACACCACACACCTAACCGCACTGAGCTGTAATGTTAGTCAGGTCTGAGAATCAAGAAACCCATAGAGACCAGTACAGTTATTCATCTGTGCCCTCTCCAATCTTAGATTATATAGAACGTGGTTAACGTATCTGCAAACATACTGCAAACAATTTGTTTTACTTCACAGGTGCTGGATTCCGTCCAGCCAGTGATGAACAAGGGGAGTGCCAGGGAGCGGAGTATTTACCGTGCCAAATTCAGCTCGATTACTGACACTGATATTTGGAACGCAATGAACCACCTGGGGGAGCCCAACAGGAATGAAGCCCTGTCGGTAGATGCACGTCAGGAGCTGGATCTGCGCATTGGCTGCGCCTTCACTCGGTACACTTCTGTTCAATAGCACTGCCACACACAGCCATCTTGTGCTAGATTTTCTGCTCCTCCCTGATCATAACACCTAAGACATTTAATGTATAGCATTTATTCATCATTTAAACATCGGACCACATATACAGACAGTTGAAAAATTAAAGGAAAATCCTGAATGCTTGACTCCTACAGTGAGGGATCAGGTGGCTCCGTTATGTGGACATTTTGCTGCCATGGTTTAGGTTCACTTGCCCCATACCAAGAAGTAGGATTGAATATCACAAAATTGTTCTGCGTGATCACCACCATCCTGTGGTGGAATATTTTTGTCAATTCATGGGAGAATTTGGTGTGTGAAAAGTAAATTAGTTGCCACAGTTTACATTGTTTGAAATGACAGATGACAACACGAAAAACGAAACCTTTGTGTTTATAACATTATCTGGTTCTTTAGTATTAGTTTAGGCCACCACAATTTCCATGCATAACCCAAATTTGCGACAATAAACACCTGGAGTTTGTCCTGCTAAGCTGAACTGTAGGCAACCAGACAACATGATCACCTGTTAAACTGGTCAACAAAGTCCTAATGGACTGCAATTCAATCACTATTTCATACTCATGCTGCTGTCTGACAAAATAAATGGATGGAACAGATGTAAACACTGCCTGAGTGTAGGTTGCACTGGAGCACAACAGGTGACATGAAAACACAGTAATTCACACAGGTCCTGTTTATTGATTTCAAATCAAAAATTTTCACCATCTCTGAATACAAAATCCACAGACCTCTGACCTGTGGATGTGCAATCACAGCTAATTGTAACTTTAGCCACCTTATCGGCACAATGTGCTGACACTAATGTTTTTTTTATGTTGTGGTGATACAGTCATCAAAAACATAAGTACAATGCTTGTGTACACTCTGGCAGCCAACAGCAGAACATCTGGTGAGCTTTGCTTGTGTCTGAGACATCATAGAGTTAGCAACTGTAGAGACCTGGCAAACTAAGAGGCAGCTGCTCAGTCAAATGAGTCACATGCAGGCAGTGAGCTTGACAACTATGGAGTAAGTAGTTTTGAGGTAACACCCAGCTCAGATTCTTACGTACATGTAAACCTGTGAGTCTA